CCCCAAAACCCCAAAACCCCAAAACCCCAAAACCCCTTGTTAAATTATGGAGTTTGAACCAACTTTAAAATTTTAATTCTTTTTGAACATCCTCTGATCGATCACGGACGACCCTCTTTTGAATAGAGTAGGAGTGGAATCGTTTTTGAGAAGATTCTGATATGAATTACCTCTGCTGCTGATGTTGGGAATTTCAGGTAAGTTCTTCATCGCTTCGTCATCAACATCAAATATATCATTCATCGGAATTTTCACGAGGTTAAAGGAGGATATATTTTTGAAAAGATTCGAACCCTCCTGATTAATTTGGCTCCCTGGCTTACTAGTAAAATCGTTGTTGTTTGAGTAATTAGAAAACCCACTGAATGGCTTGTTAGAAGCAGCAACAGGAGGTCTTCTTGCAATAGATCTATGGATCTTGGTAGGAGCATTATTACTATCAAGAACTTTTGCCAGCTGGAGGTCAAAATTATCATTCCCCTCATCATTGTTATCAAGGTTATATAAGTTGCTGAGCTGTTGGGAAATATCGAACTGGGATATATTATTAGATGGCTTCTTAAGAAGCTCATCGTCCATAGGTTTGATAATAGATGGATTTACATCCTTAATACTCAGCACAGAGCTCTTCTTCTTTGATAATCTTGTCATTGGGCCAATATGGTTAATCTCATCATCATTAATAGTCGGATTCCAGTTTATTAGATGCTGACTAGCATCAGCAGGGATGGTCAATATTTTCTTCTTAGTCGGGACAACACTCTTCTGGCTGGCACTCAGAAGAGTATTGTCAAATTTTTGGCTACTTGCCATCCCGCCTTCAAAAGGCTTTGACTTGGCTTTTTGATTTTTATCACCTCAATAGTTATAGGGAGGGGATATTTGAAGGATGTCATCAACACAGTGATTGTAATCAATAAAGTCACTCTCTTTTTGAGGATTAAAAGGCCTATTTAGCTCTTTAAATTTCTTGTTGACCTCTATCGGATTGAACTGGAACAAGTTTTTATTAGTTTTGAGCCACTTGTTGAATTTTTCAATGAACCCTCGAATGTATCAGTTGAAGTAGCTTTGAAACATTCCATTTAGGAATTCTTCCTCATTGAGACTCATTTTGATATAGAAAGAAGTGAATAGGATATAATCTTCTGGTGTGTATTCATTAGGTACTAGCAAATCGATCTTGTCTAGCCATGTGGCCCAGGCAGCTATTTCAAATTCACTAAGCATCATTGCCTTAGCAGCATTGGAAAGGTGTTGCATTAGGGGGACTTTATTGAGCTTTTCATCATCTAGTATCTTTTTCCTACTAATTCTACTCAGAAACTGATGAGTTTGCTGATTGACACCCTCTTCTTCATACTGAGTTTTGAGTTCATTGTAAATCTTGAGATTGCCAAGGGCTTCTTCAGTGAAGATGTTCTGGTTAGCAATATTTTGGTCATCATTATTTTTAACTCTTTTGATTATCGATCCGGTGTTGCCATCAGTTGAAAGTTTTCTTTTGTTCCCTGCATATTTATTCTTTCGAGTTTCTGTATGCAAGATTAGGCCAAATTTTCTTATTATTGAAGAACTTATTGAATAAATGGTTAGTCCTATGTTGTTCCCATAACCAAAATTATGCTGTGGAAGTAAGTGGTTGAGGCATATTAGGAGCCTAAGCACGGAGGTCAACTTACGCTGAGTTCCATTTCTGTAGAGAGCTGACATTTTAAAGTATTATTATTTACAGCTTCTTTTAGTTATCGGCTGGGGTTTTGGGGTTTTGGGGTTTTGGGGTTTTGGGGTTTTGGGGTTTTGGGGTTTTGGGG